CTCCTCGACCTCATTTTTACCCTCTGTTAACAGATCAGTGTGTTTTTCAGGAAGTGTTGTTATGAGCAGCAGTGACGTGCCAGTTTCCTCTTCTACACACACACACACACACACACACACACACACAGGTTTGTAATTATATCTTTGTGGGGACTCTCCATTAATTTCTTTGGGGAAAACTCTAATCTCAACATGATGACCGTAACCCCTACTCAGCCCTAACCTTAACCATAAGTAACCAAACAAAATACAAGTCTTTTGGCATTTAAAATTTTTTTGATTGCAGTCACAGATTTTTATAAAATTGAGTTTCCCTTTGTGGGGACCAAAATAATGGTCCCCACAATGTCAAAATAACATGTTTTTAATCAAATTGTGGGGATATTTGGTCCCCACAATGTAATATGTACAGGACACACGCATACACACACTCACACACACACTAGTCATCAGTAATCCCTGATATATTCTTTTCAGTATTATGGTCAGAAGCAGCAGAGATCTGTTTACACACAAGCACACAAGACAAAAGTATGCAACACTACAGATGGTAGATCAAATTAAGTGAGAAGGACACACTCTGTAATTCATACATTTTTATTATTTGACAGGCATACTGTACTTGATCTGTGCTTTTCAGATTCCACAGTGCAGGTACAACGTCATCTGCTCTGTCACAGATGAACTTTGGGCCTGCTTGTGTGGGTGTTGTCCGTTTAAGGGTCTCAGTGCAATCAGCCTAGATTTGTTTTGGTTTCTTATCAAGACATTTGCATTCATTAATTTCATGAGAACAAAAGACTTATTTAGGGATTCTTTTATAGCTGGAAATTCATATGAGTAGCAAATGGATGTCAGTTTTATTCAATTTTACCTTTTTTATATGATGTTCCTTATAGATAATGATTGGACTGGCTTTGCATGTGGTTATGTGACATATTTTGATGCACCTGTCTCAAAATATGGTATGGTATGGTCACTGACACTAAACCTACTAACCCCAGAAACCAATTCTAAGCATGAATGTATGTATAGTATAGTGTATGTATGTAAAGTGAAATAAAAATTGCTCAATATGTTGTAGACTGAGTTAAATATATACCCTATACTATTCTAAAACAATCTGTGTTTCTCCGCTTGGTGACAATCAGAGTACAACATGACAGTAAGTAATTGTATGTGTTCTGACACCTGAACGGTCTACACCTGGGCACAGAGCTCTCGTTTTCTATAAATATATTTATTCTGGAAATGGAGCCCTTTAATTATGTTAGCCTCTGCTATGCAGCTATCATCACCTGTCACATGCTTCTTCTTGTCTTTGTGTAACAGCGGCCCCACATTCTGCTCAGAGATAAATCCGGAACACAGTAGCATAGCTGGCTGGCTAATGCGAATAAGATGATCCCAGCAATGCTTTCCTTTAGTTAGTGCCAATAAGATAACACCTTAGTGAAGTGCCTGTAATTCCAGAAATTCCAGAAATTGTAATATGAGCAAAATGACTATTATAAATATTTATTAAATGGATGAACACTTTGGATGTAAGGTCGGATGACATAAGAGATCTGAGTTTCATGAAGACGAGCTTGCTTCTTGTGAGAAAAGGCACCAATGAGCAACTTTGCATCTTCTACCCTGAACTGAACTCGATACCACGGTTCACTACTTTTTATTGTTGTCAGTAAGTGCAATGAAAGGCATGAAGTAAGTCAGTGCAATGAAAGGCATGAAACTTGTCAAAGATCTACTGTATATGGCCACAGAACCGGTTCACCTTCATAGCTGAAGGAAACATTGTAGGACAAACAGCAGTTTGGGGCAGAGGTAGATGACAGATGCTGCCTCAGCCCAGACCTGAGTACATCACAGTTGTTATTTTTGATTAGCTCAGTCAATGGTACTGAAGCATAAATTAGATCCAGCCTTCAGTGACTGCCTGTCCTTGCCCCTGCATCTGAGTGCTTCTTATGAGCTGTGGCCAAATAAGCATGTCACAAATAGTCAAGTCTTGTTAGACTTAGGGAGCCGCAGCTCTGCAGGAGAGTAATGATGGAGAGTGAGGAAGGCATTGACAGCAGCTGTAGTGTTTTCCGGAAGGTCTTTCCAGCAACCAGGGGCAGCCAGAAAGCACAGTTAGTATGTTTGGCCCTCAGCCATGCCTGAGTGACCCCCCCCATGAGACGTCTCACACATCTGCTTCTCGTCCCTCTGTATCCCTCCTCAGCAAGTCCGTTCTGTTCATGGTCAAGTTGCTGTTGCAGCAGTGTGGTCTGCCACTAGCAGGACGGGGGGTCATGCACCCTCCAGTGCCTGTTTGGCTCTGCATTCCTCCCACCATTGTCCTCCTGGTCGTCAGTCAGCACTGCACAAAGACAGGAAGTGAGGCAGCTTCACAGAGTGCAATGGGGGAAGGTCAAAGAGGGAGATCGAGCATGGATGTGTGATTATTTAAAAAAAAACATCTCAATGGGAGGTGAGGAGACTGAGGGACCTTGTCAATGAATCTTAAATTGTGCTAAAATACATACATATTTAATATGGCTGCAGTAAGGATTATTATGTCAGGATGACAGACAGTTGACAGAATAAAATTAAGATTTTGAATAAACCGATAAGACATTTGACCAGCTCTGAAGAAGCAGATGTTGGAACATCAGAAAGCCGTTCTTCTCCTAACGTTGGCTCTCAGGGACGTGTCCAACCCCTGGAAGAGACAGGAGTGATGCTGCCTGTCACTGCAGGAATACTGTCATATGTCAGCCGGTGCGCAGTTTGCCCCCACCCCCTTCCCGTGAGAGAGAGCGAGACGGAGGGAGAGAGAGCAAGGCGGAAGAGGGGAGGGGTTTTCTCCAGCATGTGACCATATGACCCACAAGCGGACAGCAGAGTGCGATTTGAAGAGGCTCGGGACTTCCCACTGGAGGAACTTTTGGATTACCTGAGCTGGTTCCTGCCAGCACAGATGAAGAGTAGCAGTCTGCTTCTCTCTGTATGCGTGCGTGTTGGTGTGTGTGCGGTTTCCCGACTGTGTGCCGCTGTTAAAGTACCCTTCTTAAAAATATATGTGCATGTCTTAGCATTTAGTGTGACAGTCATGTAGTCGGGGTGCTTGTGTTTCTAATGTGTTGCAAAGTCTGTTTCTGGCCTGAGTGTTACTCTGTAACCTGGTCTTTCCAGTCTGATCTGTGCCTAACTCTTGTTTGTTTATGGTTACTGGGTCAGTGTTGTGAATAGATCAGCTGCACTATTTAACACCAGCCTGTGATGTAATTTCTGAGAGCTGAGCATTCTTTTGTGAGAGAACAGACAACTTTTATGCAGTTGCCAAATAAGTTTTTTAGAGGTTAGTTTTCCTTTCCTAGAAGTCAGACACCCTTTGGAACTTGTGCCAGGCTATAAAAGACATGTGACCGATGCTGTTGGGATGTCCACAGACTCAGGCCCTCAGTGTTACATGGTATGGGCGTTTCCACCACATCTGAGTGTTAACCAAACTTTGGGAGTGTAATGCTTACCAGAAGCGGCAGGGAGTCAGAACTGAGAGCAGCTTTGTTTAAAAACTCTTTGTTTGGAAAAACTTCCAATTTGTATTGAGATGAATTGAAATATACTGTTATATACATGGGTAAGATTTTTACTAGGGCACCTGCTCAGCTGCTGAATAATAATTTTTTTAGGCGTCAAAGGCAGAACTTTCCTCACCAAAGAGTTTCTGCGTGTGAGGCGTGGCTGCAGTCCAGTCTGCATGTGTGTGCCTGCGTGTGACTGCATGTGGAGGGCTTCTTTGTGACCGCCTGGACACTGCATCGCAGCTTCTGTCAAGCACGTTGCCAACATGTGGTCAAACAGGAAATGGGGGTTTCCACGCAGAGCGAACGCCTACATGTGAGTGACACGGCGACTGCATGCATGGCGGGGGACAATTAGAGCGGGTGTGACTATTGCATATGGAAAATCCACCTAACCTCCATTTGTTTTTGTTTTTTTTTAATGTAACACACTCTTGAATAAGAATGTTTGGACAAGCCTGGAGAACATGATTGAGACGGTGGTGTGTTTCAGACGCAGCCAAGCCTCAGTAGGTGTTCTGGCTGGTGAACGAGGAAAGACTGAGGGCCTTTCCCCGTTGGGAGAGGGGCCTTTTTGTCTCTCCTGTCTTGGCATTGTTGTAATCGTAGCTCGTCAGCATTCAGAGGGGCTGATGAGTTTGGCACCCTGTCTCGCTGCAGCAGAAGCGGGGTGTCCATGGAAATGCTGTAGGAAAGGCCGGTTGGATCCATGGCGTTGTGGCTCTGTGGCTGTGTGGAGGGCCCAGCATGTTGATCTGCCGGTGAAACATCACTTTGCACACTCCCTGGGGTGGGCGGCCTGTGCAGTGTCACCCGGCTGTACTTTTATTCGCATACTTCCTTCTACTAATCCTGTTATAAAACACCTTTTAACCTGTCCCTGTGACATCCAGTTCCTGGTTCCTGGTTACTCATAAATTGGAAGGTGTGGGTACTGTGTGTGTTAAGCGCAAACTTTCACAGCCTCTGAGACACATCCTCTTGAAACCAAGAAATTCAAAGCAAAGGCATTCTCAGTTAGTGGCATGGACCCTGCTAAAACCTTTGCCTGCATGTAAACCAGCTGCTGGTGACTCAGTTTTTTACCCAATGTTTGTATCGGGCTGTCTGAAAAGCACGTGTGACAGGACTGTGAACAGGACTGCAGGGCATGGGAGGAAGGAATAAAGGCTGTGTTTGGGGGCAAAGCAGGGATGGGCCAGAGGATGTAAACAAAAAGGGTAAGCACAGGAAAGAGGCTCGAACTGGGGGCGGGGCAGGTATCAGGAACCAGGTGCCATTGCAGAACCAGCTTCTCTTATTTAATTTGATTGTCAGGTGACCTGGAGGGTGCCCTTGCCGCACCCCAGAATGCCCTCGTCCCCCTATACATTGTCATTGTCTCTGCTCTGTCCCTTTGACACCATCCTCTCTCTGTATGCCCCCCAGCGTGGACACAGAGCCTCAGCGCACGGAGTCGGGCAGCTTCTCGGACAGCGCGTGCAGCCAGGCGGCATACCCGCGCAGCTCAGAGCGTCGCGGCGATGCCCCCCGGGGCCCTACCGTAGCCGCCACAAGCCCTGTCAGTCTGGCCTGGTCCCAGCGGACGCGCCACCAACCTGCCAGCCTGGCACTGCGCAAGCAGGAGGAGGAAGAGAACAAGCGGTGCAAGACGTTGTCCGACAGCTATGAGCTATCCACGGACCTCCAGGACAAGAAGGTACGCACCGTGAGTGGTTACAACGGTTATGTATGAGCTTGCAGGCCCCTGTCACACACGCTAACCCCTGCTGACTCCTCCTCAGGTGGAGATGCTGGAGCGGAAGTATGGCGGGTACTTCCTGAGCCGCCGGGCTGCACGCACCATCCAGACGGCCTTCCGCCAGTATCGCATGAACAAGAACTTCGAGCGGCTGCGCAGCTCCGCCTCTGAGAGTCGCATGACACGCCGCATCATCCTGTCCAACATGCGCATGCAATATTCCTTTGACGAGCGGCAGCCAGTGACACAGCAGCAGCACTACCCCCACGGTGCTGGCCCGCCGTCACCTCCCCAGCATGGCCGGTCCCGCTCCCCCCCTACTGGCCCGGAGCGGGACAGTGGTTCCCCGCCCCGTCTGCAGGGGAATCGGTCTGGGGAGTACACACACCTAGATGACTCCTTCAACAAACAGGTAGGCCACCAATTTTGTCATTTTGGGATAGCGTGAGGACATGCTGAGCCAGACCAGAGTGTAGTGATAGAAGTCATAGACCTCATGTGTACCTTTAAACATAATGATATGCTATGTTTTATAATGATGTGATATATGAACCAAGAGCATGCTCCCATTACTGGATCCCCACCTCCACTCTGCAGGTGAAGTCCCTGGCAGACTCCATCGACGACACCCTCACCTGCCGGCCGGGACGAGATGACTCACAGGAGGGCAGCAGGGAAGGCGAGGGAATAGGCGGGGTGGAGGGTGACGATTTTGGGGAATGCGTGTGGAGCAACAGCAGCAACCCTTTGTCTCGCCGGGGACACAGTGAGCGGGAGCGGGGTGGTGGCGGGGGCCTGAGCATGCACGAGGACAGCACAGCCACCTCCTACAGCGACGTCACGCTGTACATGGACGACGGGCTGCCGTCGTCCCCGCTCTCGCTGGACAGGGCCCCCAGCAGCACCGACACCGAGTACTGGGGCATGGGTGGCGGCGTGGGCATCCGCGAGGACAGCCGTGATACCGAGGGCGGCGGCAGCAGCAACAGCCGGCGGAGCACCCCCTGCACGGAGTGCCGCGACTACCGGCTGCGTGGGGCTCACCTGCCCCTGCTCACCATCGAGCCGCCCAGTGACAGCTCAGTGGACATGAGCGACCGCTCCGACCGCGGCTCCCTTGGCCGGCAACTTGTCTACGAACAGGAGCCCAGCGGCTCTCCCCAAGGTACCCTCAAGCATGGCACCAGCGCTCGCTCCATGGTAGCCGCCCAGGGTCAGACGCGTGCTGCTGGCAGACCCCACCCCTCCATCCCCTCTCAGGTGCCCCATCACCCACACCACCACCACCACCACCACCCACACCACCATCACCAGTACCCAGATACACCATCCTCATCCTCCTCCCCTCAGCAGCCGCCTGCCACGCCCCTCTCCTCCTCCTCCTCCGCTCCCGTCCCGGCCGGCAGCCTGGAGCAACCGTGCTGCTCAGACGGCGACAATGACTCGCTCAACTCCACCACCAACTCCAATGAGACCATCAACTGCAGCTCAGGCTCATCGTCCCGTGACAGTCTGCGGGAGCCGCTGCCCCCGCTGGGCAAGCAGACCTACCAGCGGGAAAGCCGCCACAGCTGGGATTCGCCAGCCTTTGACAACGACGTGGTTCAGAGGAGGCAGTACCGTATCGGCCTCAACCTCTTCAACAAGTGAGAGCGCTCAGGGGTACCGCAGGGACATGGAGACTTAGCACTCAGGGGGATGGGGACAGAGTGCTTAGGGGAATCGCAGGGGGACGTGGACAGAGTGCTCAGGGGAATCACAGGGGGACGTGGACAGAGTGCTCAGGGGAATCACAGGGGGACGAGGATAGAGTGCTCAGGGGAATCACAGGGGGACTTGGACAGAGTGCTCAGGAGAATCACAGGGGGACGGGGACAGAGTGCTCAGGGGAATCACAGGGGGACGTGGACAGAGAGCTTAGGGGAATTGCAGGGGGACGGGGACAGAGTGCTCAGGTGAATTGTAGGGGGGACAGTAAACAACCTCCAGTCAGAATTTGCTCGCGGCCTCTGACTGAAATGATGCAGAAAATGTAGAGCCAGTAGTCGTCACACTCTGCGAGAAGCTCTGTCTTCAAAGCATCCTTTGTTTTTATTCTCTCTGCTGTGTGTGAGACTTTCCCGTGTTCAAAAGCTGCTTCTTCTGTGCTAATGTTGTTCCAGGAAACCAGAGAAGGGCATTCAGTACCTGATAGAGCGAGGCTTTGTGTCGGACACCCCAGTGGGCATCGCCCGCTTCATCTTGGAGAGGAAGGGCTTGAGTCGGCAGATGATCGGGGAGTTCCTGGGAAACCGACAGAAGCAGTTCAACAAAGATGTGCTGGAGTGAGTGGGGGGCAGGGGGAAGTTGCTGGCCAGTGAGCTCGTGGGGGCCACGCATGTGCCATACCTAGACTGCACATATGAACAGGTCTACCTGGATCTCACAACCAACCTGTGGAGAATAGCAGCCAAGATGCTCCTCCGAAAAGTATTACAGGGGAGGAAAGACTTTTTTCTTTTATCCGAATTATTTTAAAATAGTTAAGAGAAGAAACTTAGGCTTTGTGGCTACATACAGTAGTTTCCTGTTGGTTGTTAAAATATGATTTCTCACAAGAAAACAAGGAAGTGTCAGATAAGGCCTCGGGTCTCTCCTTCATGCCACAGTGTTGTTCTGTTTTTATAAACAGAAGACTTCTCCTTCTCCTCTGTGAGTTGCTACAAGCAAGGCATCTGTACATGTAACTTTTGTTGCTTATGATGCTTGCACAGCCATCGCGCTTCGGAAGAGGTTCAGATGGTGCATTGATCCAGGCTGAGCTGGATGTCAGCTGTGTGTATGATCCAGGTCCGTGTGTGTTTTTCAGCTGTGTGGTGGATGAGATGGACTTTTCAGGCATGGACCTGGACGACGCACTCAGAAAGTTCCAGGCTCAGATTAGAGTCCAGGGGGAGGCCCAGAAGGTCGAGCGACTTGTGGAGGCTTTTAGGTATGCGGAGTGTGTGTGTGTGACCATATTCACCCTTTTTATTTTCACTCCTCACCTAAATCCTCCTGAGCTCAAGGTCCCACCCCGTTTCTCTCTCCTAGTCAAAGGTATTGCGTGTGTAACCCAGCAGTGGTCCGCCAGTTTCAGAACCCAGATACAATCTTCATCCTGGCCTTTGCCATCATCCTCCTCAATACGGACATGTACAGCCCCAACGTGAAGCCAGAGAGGAAGATGAAACTTGAGGACTTTATTAAGAACTTGCGAGGTGAGGTGTATCAGTCACATGTCACATATCCCCTCCCCCCCCATCTTGTAACATTTCACTAGATGTAGCATTTCGGAGTGTTTTTGCAGCATAGCTCAAAATGACATAAAGCAATCTGTGAAAAATGTTCTTCTTCAGGGGTTGACAATGGGCAGGACATCCCCAGAGACCTTCTCGTGGGCATCTACCAGCGCATCCAAAAGTGGGAGCTGAGGACCAACGATGACCACGTGTCCCAAGTGCAGGCCGTGGAGAGACTCATCGTGGGCAAGAAGCCGGTGAGATAAAGTGGGGGGGGTGGTCTGTTAGTGCATGCTTTGATGATGCACATATTGCCTGTGGTGTACCTTTAAGGAGTCTAGAGCTTCAAAAGTTCTGATCACACATCAACACAAACCTTCATCCAGCAGTTTATCCTGAGCCTGCTTCATATTGATCACAATCTGTGCTTTGCTGCGCTTTTGAACTTGTACAGTTCCCACACTCATAAGAAGCAGAACCAAAGCTCCGGGTGGTTACAGTGAGGATATAAGCAATCCTGCTTGGGGCATTTGCAGGTGCTGTCACTGCCCCACCGCAGGTTGGTCTGCTGCTGCCAGCTGTATGAGGTGCCTGACCCCAACCGTCCCCAGAGGACTGGAGTGCACCAGCGAGAGGTCTTCCTCTTCAACGACCTGCTGGTGGTGAGACTGTCCTTATCCTGACTCTGCTTAGTGTATGCTGATATCACTGCTGATCTCAAAATCAATGAGAGTACCACTGCAGTATTTCTATGTGTTGTTTCTCTTCTGCGAAGGTAACAAAGATCTTCCAGAAGAAGAAGAATTCTGTGACCTACAGCTTCAGGCAGTCCTTTGCACTTGTGGAGATGCAGGTCCACATGTTTCAGAACTCCTGTAAGGACTGATGTGTCTGCCTCTGCTTCTCACCCATTGGCCGGGGGGCCCGCTCGATAAACACGACTCTCCATGCTTTCAAATTTACTTAAGATGCTGATGTGTATTTTAAGAAGACTCATTAAAGTGGTACATACTGTAAGAGCGTTGGAATGAGAGTGCTCTGTGCAATCTAATTTTATACTTGAATTATAAAACTGATTCGCACTGGACCCTCTGGCCACAGAATGTCCGGTTTGTTATGCTTTTCTCATATATAGGAAGGTTATATATTATATTCATTATTGCTTTTATGTGTGCATCTACACTTTGTGAACCATCCCATCCCCTTCAGATTACCCTCATGGCATCCGCCTCACATCCGCCATCCCAGGAGGGGAGAGGAAAGTCTTGATCGTCTTCACGGCCCCCAGCCAGCAAGATCGCACACGCTTCACCACTGACCTGAGAGAGAGCGTTGCAGAAGTGCAAGAGATGGAGAAGTACAGAGTGGAGTGTAAGTGTGTCTAAGTATGTGTAACATGGGTGATCAGTGTGTTTAGGTGCATGCAGTGAACTGTGATTGTAACTGTGTCTAGGTGCCTATTAGTGATGGCCAAATGAAGCTTCATGAACCATTTGCTGTATTTTCTAACCCCACTAGATGGCGCTCTCTATTCAAAAAAGGGTTCAATATATGCCCCAATGCAAACCAAGACCACCATCAGTAGTGGGGCAAAAATACAGAATATGGTTCATGAAGCTTCATCTGGCCATCGCTAACGCGTATGTGTACAGGACACAGGGAGTGTATGTGTCTCCATGGATTACTGTCATTCTGTCCTGTCTTCCCCTGCCAACCCTCCCATCTCTCCTCATCCTCTGTGTCCCCCACCCCCACACCACAGCGGAGCTGGAGAAGCAGAAGGGTGTGATGAGGCCCAGCCTTCTGACAGGCGGTGTTCTGGCTGGAGGAGGCACTGTAGGCGGAGGTGTGAAGAGCGAGGTGGTGAACGGCAGCCTGGGAAGGCCCAGCCTGGATGACACCTACTCCACTGGAGAGGGACTCAAGCGAACCGCACTCAGCTCGTCGCTGAGGGACCTGTCCGAGACAGGTGGGTCGACACCCGGCACGCACACCGATGCGGGTAAGGGGAGGAAAGGCAAGTTAACATAAGCAGGTTACCTGCACTGCCCCAAAGCTGAGATCAGAGGAGGCCACGCACAGTCCAGGGAGACACAGCACATTTGTCTTCTTCCTGTTGTCACTTGTGAGGCTACTTTATGTCTGGACCAGTGAGGGGCACTGTTAGGGTTTCTGGTCATCCTGCACTCATTCTCAGGATGTTGTCTGATTTAAATTTTGATTATTAGGGGAACTCTGAGAAATATGCTGGGAAACTGCAGTTTGACATGTGAGAGTGGAGCACCCATATCAGATCTTATTACTCTGCGGATATTATTTCATAGTATTTCATTATTTCATACCATCTAACTATAGATGGTATAACTCTGCTTGTTACTCAGTCTCATAACAATTATCTGTTGCACTAAATAATCATTTGTGCATTTCCGCCTGGGAACAGAGGGACCCATTTTCATGTAGAAGGACGCATCCTATGCAGGGACACCCACCTCTCAGCTGTCACCAGCCATCCAGGCCATCAGTGTCCTTTCACTCCTTTACTTGCAGTAGAAACATCACACATGAAAGCAGTCAGCCTTAGGCTGGTCTGTAGGTGGTTTGGTGGTCCTGAGCTGGACCTTTAGCTGCATAGTAACAGGCTGAAGACCCAGAAGGCTACTGAGACTGAAGAGAATTCATACTCAGCCTGAAGAATGATACTCAGCATTATTGAGCAAGTGTCTCAGCTTCAGTAAATGTGGTACTCAAAGAGGCGTTCAGCCAGAATTAATTGTAATGTTCAAACCAAGTAAGGTACTAAATATGAATGAGCGTGGTACTCAAAATGAATTGAGTAGGATAGTCAGCACGATTAAGGAATGATTTAATATTTAATTCATTAATAAACAGCTGAGTCAAGAGAAACTGCTCTCTTCCTGTGTTACAAATTTATGGCAGTAATGAACAAACAGAAGTAGAAGCTGTTTTGGAATGGGGTGTTGAAGTGGAAGGAAGTCCCATGTTCTAATGCCCAGGCTGGTGTGTCGAATGGTGGTGTGGAACCATCTACTGGCAGATAACAGAACTGCAGACAGTGACAGCATGTGTAGGGTGGAGATTACATAACAACTGGGGGATTACATAACAACACTTTTGCCCCTTGAATCAACTGCATTTCAATGAGTAAATGATTACTGAACACTTAAAAGTTTTTGAAAATTTAACCGGTGCATCAGTGCTGCTAGTATAGCTGTGATGTGGATATATATCCAGTCTTTAGTCACCTACTGTAAATTACATCCCCTCCTGTATGTCTGTGTGTGTGTGTGTGTGTGTGTGTGTTGGAATCACATACCCAATCAGATGGGTTTTGTAAATCACTCATTATCCGGGTAGTTAAGGCAGTTTGTCAGGCTGGCTATTATGGGAAGTTTGGTTTGGCTCTGTGACGTTCCAACTCTAACAGTGGGAATTCTGGAGAGTGAGAGTCAGACGTAGACTCCGTGCTCAGCACAGCGTGTCGCACCGCTAACCTGGCTTCTCCCCGGTCGGGTGCAGGGAAGCGGGGCCGCAGAAACAGCGTCGGCTCCCTGGACAGTACCATCGAAGTAAGTCTGGGTGGACGGGGCCCATGGAATGGCCCTTTGCCACCTCATTCTCACCCCCCCATGCTAAACCCCGCTGCATGCCACATGTCCGTGGACCAGAGCATCTGTGATGTTCACGTCTGTCTCTGTCACCGGGGTGCTTCTGCATGTCTTTATTCGCGCGTCTTGGCTGTAGCATGGCCCCTGATCGCCAAAACTCACCAGTCAGTGGCTGTCGAGAGCATTATCTGTGCTCAAGTGATCTGTCTGATTACCATCATTAGCGCTGACCAAAGCAACAGGAATATATAATGATGCATGGAACACAAGCAGGGCGATAGCACATAGAGCTGTTGATCTGCAGTGTGGACTGATTCTGAAAGCAAGTGGATTCCTGATCCAAAGGTGGGTGGAGCCTGCAGATGGTAAGCCAATGAACAGCGAGCTAGTACTCAGGTACAGCATGGGTGTGGCCCATTCTCCTGCTGTCTGTGTCCTCCGACATCCTGCTCAGTCTCTGCCCCGGTTAACGCTGCACCCCCTCTCTCTCTGCTACAGGGATCCATTATTAGCAGCCCTCGGCCGCACCAGCGCCTCCCCATGGCCACGATGGTGTCGGGCTGCTATGGCCTCGAAGATTACCGGTCTCACCGCCCCATCCTGAGCCCCGGGTCGGGGGTGGGGGGTGGGCCGGGGCAACAACACAACGCTGCTGGGACAGTGGGCACGGGAGGGGGTGGACCAGTCTCCAGCAGTGTCGAGAAAGGCGGGATGGGGAATGCGACTGGGGGGGGCAGTGGCTCCTTTCTGGGCTCCCTGTTCGGCAGCAAACGCGGCAAGGCCCCGGGCCCCATTATCCCACCGGGGCCACACTACCCCGCCCCTGTACCCCCCCCCACCAGCGGGGGCCCCCCCCCTCTCTCCCCTTCATCTCTATGCCAGTCGGATGGGGGGCCCTCCAAGATCCAGGCCCTGCACGCCCAATACTGCCACACGGGCGCTGGGCAGCCCCCGCCCCCATACCAGCACCACCACCGCTACAGCGTGCAGACCGTGCCCCTGCCCAGCCAGGCAGCTTCCGCACCGGTGGCCAACCACCACACGCTGCAGCGGGGGTCCCTCCCCCGGCGGCCGCCTCCCGCACCCTCCCACGCCCCGCCACCGCCGGTATCCCAGCATGCCATGCAGGGCCGCTATACCGGCATGGCCCTGGCAGGGGGCTGCCCTGTGCCTCTTTCACCTCACTCCCTGCACTCGCCCCTGCCCCCGTACACGCTGTACCACGCGCAGCATACACCCTCAGTCAGGGGCGGCGCCCCCCCTGGCAAGCCCCCCCTGACGCTGGCCCATTCGCAGCCGCACACTCACTCGCACGTGCACCCAGGCCACGCCCCGCACCCCAGTTCCCACCCCGTGCCTCCACCTCACTTCGTCTTCGGCGCACCAGCCCAACCTCCTCCAGGTCCCATCACTGCCCGTCTTCTGCCGCAGGGCGCCCAGTATCTGCCCCAGTATCCTCCTCTGTCCTCCATCCCCCCTCCCCCCCCCCCCCCCCCCCCCCCCCCCCCCCCCCCCTTTCCCCCCCCCTTCCTCCCCCCTTACCCCTCTTACGCCTCACTCCCCTCGCCCCCCCCAGCACCCTGGCCAGCCACAGCAGGCAGCTGGTCCACAGGGGGGTCAGGGGGCCGCGGCCCAGGGCAGCGGCACCGGTACCGGGGGGAGCTCCAAATCCAAGCCCGTCAATCGGATCAGCACCGTGGTCTGAGGGACTCGCTGGTCTGGGGGCGGGGGACCCCAGGCGGGACGCTGAGGGCCAACAGCGGCGACAGGGCTGTCGTGGACCAGGGAGGCGGAGCCAGCAGGAAAAAGCGCAGTTTTCTTCGCCTCTGCTACTTTCACCTGCGTTTCCCACACATGTAGAGGGCAGAGAGCCCTGGCGACACGCACGCGCTACCCCTCACCCCGATCACTCACCACAGGGCTGAGCTGCGGGCACGACTGGCACACACGGAAGGGGATGTAGCTCGTTATTAGGGGCCGGGCACTACGGTGGTGCATGCATGTCGCCCCGACGCCTGGGCGCTCCCCAAAAGCATAGCAGGATGGAGATCTGCACAGGGACGCAGACAGATTTTCTTCCACCTTGTTGCCAAATTGGAGCCTGAGGAAGAAAAGTTCTGTCTGATTCCCTGTTCGTCCGAAGAGATAAGGGGGAGACACCCAGATGCCTCGATGTAGAAGCAAACTGACAGGCGGCCTTGTGCTTGCACATTTAATAACTCTGCTAACCTGTTTGTGAATGAATGTGGCAGATACAAGACACATACAATGCCTAGACGCTCACTGACACATGCACACAGCAAGCCGTCCCCGCAGGTGAGGCAGACTCCCTCGTCAGGCAGACTGCAGATGCCACCAGTACCAAGAAAGGCGGAGCATCTTGGAGACTCGTACTGAGCTGGACAGGTCCCATCCAACTAAACAGGATTTGGTGGACAGGGAGAGCAGACCACTTAGAGGGGACAGACCGGCAGGGGAGGCAACACGCTGGCTGTGAAGTGTAGGAGCCAAGGACTGAATAACAACAGTTCTCTTATTAAGAGGATAGTAAGTCAGTGAACGTCAACTTCAAGCATTGACTCTGGTAGTATTATAACCATTAGTAAATGCAAATCTATAATCTCCAACTGTGCCATTTCATTAGTGCAGGAGTGGTGAACGCTAGCAATGGGCCAGATTTAATCAGCCATCTTTTAAGCCATGCTTCAAGCTGGGTAAAGTCTCCTAGCGGAGTTGCTGTTTCAAAAGGCCTGAGGTGCTGCTGGACTCCTTCAGCGGAGTACAGCTTGCTCTGGCCTGGGATGCAGCCCGGCCATAGAGGAACAGTGCTTTGACATTGACAATGTGGGGTCTCCACATTTCCCGATGTGGCTCAGAAGGACGTGGGAGACAGACACACAGACAGTAGATCGAACACATCTGGCTGAACTGTGTTTAACAGAACAGCCAACATATTTCTGGGGAAATATCTTTTGCTTGTAAATCAATGTTAAATTGACAATAGATTACTGAAGAATTTTGACTAACCTTTCCTATGTTCTTAATGATTTAAATGAGTGAAATTGACAGCATTAGTTTTACTGTATCTCTGACTATTGGATTTTATTCAAAACCTGATGACATGTAACAGGCGTGAAGGATCTTTGTTACATTGATGATGGCGATGATAATGGCATTTATAAATAGTTTAATCTGTTACTAATAATTCTTCATTTTGCTTTGAAGTGACTGTACTGTTTTTTCGGTTTATTTACTTTATCTTATTTAGAGCTGCCGGTGACAGTGTGTGTTGGGGCAGGGTGGCGTCGAACGCAAGACTATTAGCAGGAAACACATTTTTCAAACACTTACAGTAGCTGCATTCATAATGAGGCTCATGTAATTCATCCCCTCCTCAACTTTGGACCTGACCACACATGGAGCCCCAACCTTTCCCAGCATCCCGATCACCTCCAACCATCACACTCCATGCAGCTTCACACATATCTGAAGCGTTCACCTTCAAAATATCCTCTAAAGAGTACGGTCAGGTACACTCAAAGCACAAGTGATGTACTGCTCTCCTCCCTGTGAAATATACTAGTCTATCAGAGCACAGGTATACTGGACTAAATTGGAAAATTCATTCATGCTGCACATCTCACAACCTTCCTCCATTCTGTTCATGAGCGGGGAGTACGTTTGGATTATATGCAAGAGAAGCAGACAATAGGAAGTAGGTTATTGAAGAGTACCAGTAAACAGAAGTAGTCAAAAAGTAGGTCTTTGAGTATGTGGATACTGGGGAGGTTGGTCAGTGTTGTCTCTTTGTTATTCCCTTATTGCATGAGTATTTCCTACCAAATGAATCTTTATTGACCTGAATGTACATATTATATAATAGCAATTCTAAATATTGACTATGGAATGGACTGTAACCTGTTTCTGTAGTACAGGTATGTGTGTGTGGGAGAGTGAGCAGGGACTGCAGGACAAAGGGACCATTTCACTGGAGGGAGGGACACCGGATTCTGATTGTGAAGTTGTGTGTGTGTGTATGTATGCGTGCGTTAGAGCAGTTATTCATATTTTAAATGCAAGAGCTATTATGGAATATTATTTGTGTATATATAGTTTTGGTTGAACAAATTACAGATAAATGAAGTGTGAATATTTATTGCTTCTGAGATTATAAAAAATGTCATTGCGGTGAAAATGCCTTCGTTCTTTCTTTTCTCCATTTGTCTTAGTGCTGTTTGTTCATCTCTGGCCCCATAGCTTTGGCACTGTCACGCAGGTCAGTTATTCAGAAGCCTGTTCCTAATGCTCAGTAGAGTGCAGGCTGGGACCCTCCATCTTCAGGCTATTTCCGCAATCATTACTTACATGGAGTGTTTCAGTGCCTGGGGAAACTGAAAGCATGTGATCTGCAGGACAGCTGTTGGTAAGGCCACACACATAAAAAAAACTGACAAAATATAAGTTTTACCAAAGTTAGGTGAGTACTCCGAAGCAGCCAAAGTGACACATGAAAGATGCAGCATGCATCTCCCAACTCAAGCAGCTAGCCTGCTCATTTGGATGGATAACCATTTCATCTGACTATTTCCAGAAGGACTATAGACCACAAGGATCCTGAACAGAACTAAAGTATTCACACCTCTAAGACAATTTTTTTCTTCCAAAGAATGATAGTCAATCCACTGCACTGGAATGAAACATAAACCTGCATATGTCAATTGTTTGTTTTATTTATTTGAGCCTTTTTATTTAGGGTAACAAAAAAAATCTGTTTTAACCCAGTTAGACATTCAGTGAGTTAACATGAATTTGTAACCTACTGCAGGGGCACCACTACAAATTTTGAGCCCCATGAAAGCATATCACATTGGGCCCCCAACCCAGACCAATTCAGTTATGTTCCTACTTTTTTAGGTCCTCTGCCACTCAATGGTCCTTGGAATCATTCTATGCAGATGTACATTGAAGACACAGTTGTGGTCTAAGCAAATTAGGGGCTGGTCTGTGGCTCAGTGGGTTGGGACACTATAACCCAGATCAGATGGTTGCTGGTTCAAATACTAAGAATGACTTCACCGTTGGGCCCTTCAGCAAGGCCTTTAACCCCCCAATTGCTCCAGGTACTGTATGTGGTTTTGGGTGAAAGTATCTCCTAACCATATAAGACGTACTCACATTTCACTAAATTCCTATCCTGAGACTAGCATGCATGCCCTGACATGCAGCACTTCCACTTTGAGATAATAAGATGATAGTAAAGCATTATGAAGGTTCCACAGGTTCACATTTAATTCTTGTACCTGGCATACCCGCTAACCATGGACTTCAGATTTTAAAGATGGATTTGTTACTGATTTCAGTATACACATGGAAAATTATCTGCCTGTACAAGTCTCATTATGGTAAACGTTTAAAAATAAACATAGTTAATAAATGTACTGCATATGACCAAGTGACTTGCAACAATTTCTACACAAATTATACATGTCATTTGATGCAATCAAAAAGGTCAAACAAAAAAAGTGTTGTTACGTGATTCTTATGTTGGACATTACAGTAACACCTAATTAAACCTAGTAAGATCTATGAAATCTAGTGTTTTTATTATTATTATTATTATTATTATTATTATTATTATTATTATAATCACCACAACCCTGTACAGGATAAGCAGTTATTGATGATCGATGACGAGTCTACATAATACACTGATACGTACATTTATCAATAGGCACATATTATTCAGACACGCGAAGACAGCTGTGCAGGGTTCACACAGATGTTTGGGCCACCGAGGGATGGTGTATCCTCGTCCTATCTGCTCACATCTTTACTGTTGTGTACAGACAGTGATGATGAAAGTAAGATGGCGGCTCCGGGAGGCAGAATCGGTGACAGTATGAGCCGGTGGGAGTTATTCTCTTGCTGACGACGGATTTTGGCATCTTTCACACTTTTTTGGGGGGAGAGTATCCGATTAGGGTACCGAATGAGACAAAGCGAATAGATTTTCTGGGACTTATCGAAAATATCCGATTGAGCTACCAGGACGGAGATAGCTAAGGAGTTAACCGGCTAGTCAAACGACCGATCCAGGAGAGGTGTGTGTGCTCCGGGTGCATGCCGGCAGCTTGAACCGGGGGACGCTGACTTCTGATCGGGAGACGTTAAGTGGCAACAAGCGAATTCAAAAATCGACGGCAATGGACTGCGTCCCCAGGACTGGCAAAGGGGAGGCCGGAGAGACCCTGGGCCTCCGATTGTAGACCCGGGTGACAGCACTGACCCAGGCTGTCCCAAAAGGGCGGCGGGCAGGGCGAAGGTTTCGGCGCCTGCGGAGCACGATCCAGTCCCCCTGTTGTACTCTTTACCTGCGCACGGCCGGCACGGCTACCCCAGCTCGCACAGCCTGGCCGCCTTCGGGTGCTGCAGAACCGCTGTTTTGACCGAGGCTCACTCAACGCGACGCCGGACAGAGTGTCGGCGACCCCGCCGGTGAGTGTACGCCGTACCCTCCGACGCCGGGCCCCCGTCGGACGTTAGCCGGGAGGCGAATGTAGCCACCTCAGCTACATCCCGACTCGGGAGCGTCTATCTTCTCGCATAAAAACAAACTCTGTCTGATTTATTAGGGGCTGCTGTGAGAAACATAGCGCCTGTATATATTAAGGCAAAGATCTAACTTCGATGTATTTATGTTTACTTCGAATGTAACGACCGTTCATCCGATTTCCGGCAGGATTAGCCGTTTAGCTGGTTATTAGCTTCGCCGCTAGCTAGTTAGCATGAGCGCTGGCTGTGCGGAAGGGTAGCTGACTGGGAGTTTTACTCCTTTGGGGATAATTGCCGCGTGTCTTTGTGCATTATCTTAAATCGATGTGGCAATCTGACGAGTTTGTCCTCTTAAAGTTGAACTGTTGACACCTCTTATCCGGTAACTTTTAATGACGCGCTTAGCTTTTCGAGTAGCCGATGATTTGGTTTGGTGAGGACGGTGATGTTTAGTTTTTTTTAATTGTTGTTATTATTATTATTATTATTATTATTATTATTTTTAAAGAATTGTATACAATTCAAACAAAGCAGTGTGTGAGAGGATGCGGCCGTGGTCCAGGCTTCCCTCCATGGGATTCACCTTCTCCCGGAGTCGCTTTAATTTGTGACAGAGAAGCTGCCATTTGACCATCAGCCAGAGACACGTACGCCTCACATTAAGGCGCATAATACTTCGATGCGTTTGTATTATTCAGATTATAAATATATTTATTATTACGCTGTTAAGAGAAAATGTGTTTGACTTGCACTAAAAATCATGTTTAATCGCAGGTTCGTTTACAGTAATTTAAGAAACATAGTGTAATGAACGTATAATGTACATGTTTACCTTTTAACTGCCGTATCGTAATAAGTGCGTAATATACAGTAATGTAGTCTGTATATAGTATTGTAGTACTGTATTGTAAGATGTGCAGTAATTTTTAGCACTGAGTGATGTGTACAGTAATACACAGTAATGTTACGTTTAAATGGCAACTAAAGAAAAAACATTTTAAATGTCATTTCCTGCTACAGAGTGCAGGTGGCCTGTGTTGTGAGGATTGTACACTAGTAACACAGTGCCTTAAGTTTTACACGAGCATCAAAACATTTATAAATTAAGTGTAGTGTGTAAGTTGGGTTCGTTACAGGGTGCAGAGGGGGTCTGGCTCACTGGCTGGGGGTGATGCATAGGCACCAGCTGGCCAGGCCTGAGCAGTAGGGATCAGCTTCTGTTATGCTGTACCGACTCTCTCTCGCCCTTGTGGACTGGACCTGATCTTTATACCCACATTCTTCCGACCCTGTTTTCCCAGAGGAATGGACACTGATGAGTTTGTTCCCCCAACCGAGTGCCCAGTATTCGAACCATCATGGGAGGAGTTCACAGACCCCCTGGGCTACATCGCCAAAATACGGCCCATAGCCGAGAAGACTGGTATCTGTAAGATCCGCCCCCCTCCCGTAAGTATGTGTGGGCACTGCCCTCCTCTCGCAGGTGGTGTGAGGCCCCTCCCCGCCCCCACACCCCACTTCTGTATTTACTGGGTTTGTAATAGTTTAGGTTATGGTTATGGTTAGGGCAGGGCTGGCCTTTTCAAAAATTAGTTCATAGCAGGAATCTTCTGGCTCACCCAGGATCTTCAGCTGTTGCCCTGAATAATTTAATGGCTCAGTTTGGCTGGGCTGTTAAATCCTGACTGACCGTTTTTAACATAATTTCTATGTGCCTGGATATTTTGCTATAGTATTACTATGAACTGTCCCAATGGTTGTTGATCATGTACTTTTATTCTGGTTTGTTTGTCATGCACATACAGCAGAACTCTGAGCATCTCTTTTGTCTGAAGAAGGTGATGCTGTAAAATCACCCCCCCACCCCGTGTAACCACTCTCACACACACTTTGTTTGTCTCTCTTACTTGCAGGACTGGCAGCCTCCGTTCGCCGTAGAGGTGGACAACTTCCACTTCACGCCACGAATCCAGAGGCTGAATGAGCTGGAGGTGAGCTTTGCATACTGCGGTGAGTGCTGCCCATCCTTACTCGCAAGATCACTGACCGATCTTCCCTAACAGGCGGAGACGCGCGTCAAGCTGAACTACTTGGACCGTATTGCCAAGTTCTGGGAGATCCAGGGCTCCTCGCTGAAGATCCCCAACATTGAGCGCCGCATGGTGGACCTCTTCAGCCTGGCCAAGGTGCCCAGCCAGCCGGCATTTCCTCACACTTGTTGGGGTTAGGCTTAATAGGAGAGCTTCCAAATCATGGCAAGGTGGCAGGTAGATGGTTAAATGTACAGACAATGAGTGTGCTGTGAGATGAAAGGAAGACAAAAAGCCTTCACAGGCAAGTTTCAGATCGTAAAGAGGATCTTGTTTTCAGCCTGTAATAACTGGGAGGGATGGCCCTTTAAATCAATGTTTTGTTTACGTTTTTTGTCAACTGTTAACTCTTTAGTGACTTTTCCTAACCCCTGTTTGGCCTTCAGTGAGGTCACTGCCTGGCTTCCTTTTGCGTTCCGCAGGTGGTGTCGGATGAAGGGGGGTTTGAGTCAGTCACTAAGGAGCGGCGTTGGGCCCGCATAGCCCAGAAGCTTGGCTACCCCCCAGGGAAGAACATCGGCTCGCTGCTAAGGTCCCACTATGAGAGGATTGTTTACCCGTTTGAGATGTTCCACTCAGGAGCCAGCCTGCCGGTAATTTTTAGCTGTACAGTGATGCTTTGAGTATCAGCATACACCCCCGCACTCACCTTGAAATTGGGTAAGATGGGTGTGAGTGGCATCTCTACTGGCTGGCCTCACAGCTCCAAGCTCCTCTGTGGTAAAGTTTCCTCTCGCCCCCTTGCACAGCCGCAGTGCAAACCGCGACCGTATGACAGCGAGGACGTGGACAAGGAATACAAGCCTCACTCCATTCCACTGCGGCAATCTGTACAGCCGTCGAAGATCAGCAGCTACGGGCGGAGAGCCAACCGGCTGCAGCCTGACGTAAGTGTCAAACCCGTGGGCCTTGTGGGGAGTGCTAATGTGCATGGGTGGTGTCATACTGGGCTGTGGGGCTGCGGTAGGTGGTCTCATGCTATCAGTCATTGAGTATATTGAGTCCTTTTTCCCATTGGTTTAGTGGTCAGTGATTGACAGCACAAGGGAATCCCACCTACCATAGCTTTAAAAGCCTTAATTCTCTAATGGTTATTTTATTAAATGGAAAATACTTTGTGCATTATAGTAAAACTGTTTTGAGTTAACATTTTCCTTCTGTTCCACCAGTCTACCTCACTGACCTCCTAACTAATATCCCTCCTTTCCAGATGCATGGTACTCACTACTTTACTAACAGTGAAATTCCCCTTAACCTGATTTTTGGTGGAATTAATCTTGATTCCTTTGTATCTATGCTTAAGACAGGCAAGTTTGTACTTTCTATATTTAAATACAATGCATATCCCACCGTAAATGCAAATTTGAGTGATTGTCTCCAGGGACCTAGTAATTAGTTATAAACAATGGATCTTGGGCACCAGTTGTGTGTTATAACCTTGTTTTGCTGGTTACTGTCACCTGATTGAAAGGTGTCTCTTGTGTTGTCGGTTAAGCTGTTGCCAGTGGACACAGGTGTGGTGTCCCAGCCCTAGGTGTCCGTGCCTCATTGCTGTTCTTTTGCCTTCTGATCGCCCTCAGCTAAAACTCTCTGCTTTCCTGGTGCTTGTCTATGTAGCATCAGTGCTAACTTTTTGGCTTGACCTTGCAGCCTCCGCCAACATTAATCAGGTTTCACTGTTTTTGAATTCATTTTTCGGTGAGACGCCAACCGTATAATTTCATCAGAGGATCCAGTAAGCTAGAGAATGAGGGCCTCCGGTTAAGGGAAAACTATCCAGTGTTGTCCGTATAGCACTGTGTATAACTGCATTTAATTGGCATTTAAAATGTGTTGCTTAACATTTCAGCATTTTAAGTAAATTATCCTCCACCCTGTTAGATCCACTCTGTACTGAGTACCACTGAGTACCTTGGATGTAGACCGTAGTACCGTACATATATAGCTGAGTACCAGTGAGCTTCATGGATGTGCACCTGAGGGCCCTCGGTGAAGGACTAGTTACCTCGGAGTTCCACAGATGTGGAGCTGAGTACCACTGAGATCCATGGTTGTAGACCGGAGTACCATACGTATAGAGCTGAGCACCAGTGAGCATCATGGATGTGGACCTGAGTGTCCTCTGTGTAGGACAAAGTACCACTGAGTACCACAGATGTGAATCTGCGTACCACTGAGACCCATGGTTGTAGACCGGAGTACCATACGTATAGAGCTGAGCACCAGTGAGCATCATGGATGTGGACCTGAGCGTCCTCGGTGTAGGAAAGTACCATTGAGTACTGTTGCTTCTTTGTTTCATGGTATGTCAGAGAGAGAAAATTTTACTGAAAGCAGTCTATTTCTTGATACACTATATGGCCAAGAGTATGGACACCAGCTTCTCCAACATCTCATTCCAAAATCAAGGGAATTAAATTTGATGTTGGTCAGACCATGGTTCTTATAATAGCCTCCACTCTTCTGGGAAAGTTTTCTATTAAATAGATCATTACTGGAATTTGTTGCCATTCAGGATGGGTTTTGATGTTGAATTGTCAGTTCCATGATGCAGAATTTCTCAGTTAGCTGGGCTAACTTAAGCTAGAAGTTATAATTGCCCAATAGGAATGCTCCATACCTAAACTGTTTTTACACAAGCATATCTTCTAGCTTAAGTTAACCCAGAAAGAGAAATCCTGGTTTGTGGAACACCACCCCAGATTCCTTTCTGTGAGCTTGCGTGACCTACCACTTCATGACCTGCCACTTGGGTTTGACACGTCAGCTGAACTTGTTCCCAGACATTCTGACCTTCACAGTCACTTGTGGTTGACCAGGACAGTTCTAGCAAAGCAGAAACGTGGTGACTTGTAAAGATGGCATCCTATGATGGTGCCAAGTCAGTAGCCTCTTCTGTACAACCACTTCTTCTGCTTCCAATGTTTATTGCGGGTGATTGCGTAACTGTACACCTAGTTATACACCTGTGCCTGTAATGGATGTGACTAAATTATGTAATTCCTGTACAGAATTGGGTGTTCACATATTTTTGGCCATATAGTATGTCTTGTGTCAATAACTTTTGGAACATTGTTTAATTTATTGCTAGTGGACTACAGTCAGCAAGGTAGCAGTGTCGTTTTTGGAAGCTCATTCTGCAGCCTCAAAAGGCTTTTGTTGAGAGCTTGTGTCAGATTGGTATGAGGTTGCGCTTGTCACGCTGTCTCTGATTGGTGCGCAGCCCCAAAGTGTGAGAGGTAATTTCCGTGGTGCTGTAGCATGTCGTTCCGCCACTGACAGTTGTCAGAATAAAGCAGAGCATGCTTCTTTTGAAATGCCCGAGGGAGATGTTGTATGAGCACCTTTGGGATCCAGAGGGAGGCTTTTCTCCACCCCCGCCCCTTCCTACACACTTATAGCACCGTACTCACTTCCCCCACTCACTTCCCCACCCTCTCTCACTTCCTCGTAAGTCCTCTACGCCCCCTTTTCCTGTTTGTTCATCCCTCTAGTCCTCTCAGTCCATTGTTGCTGTTGTTGTCTCTCCATGCAGGGTCCTGAAGACTTGCCCCCCCACCCTCTCACCGCTGGCTCTCAGCACACCTCTTCGGTACTGCCCTTCTCGCGGTCCTGCTTTCTGCCTCTCTGCTTTCCCCTTTGCTGTCTCCTTTTCTTCCATGCTCTCTCCATCCTCCAGCCTTCTGCTCGTCTCCTGCTCCTCCCTTCCTTCATTCGTGCCACTCGTACTCTGATCAGTTGGAGATGCTGTGCTTGTGCGTGTGTGCTTGTGCGTGTGTGCTTGTGCGTGTGTGCTTGTGCGTGTGTGCTTGTGCGTGTGAGTGTGTGTGGGCTGATTCCCTGCCTGTGTGCTCTTTAAGCTGTGCCCTTTGTTTCCTGCTGCGCATACGCTCTGCCAGGTTCCCTTTTTGTCTGCCTTTTTTCCCCCTGCTTTCTCTGAGTGTGTTTGCAGCCGCCCGTCAGACAGTCTGTGTGCGGCAGGTAACCCAGTATTAAGTAAAGGAAGCCCCCTAAGCGACAGGAAATCGCACCTGCGATGTAGATGTAACCGTTAGAGATGAGGTTCCATAAAGACTGTAGGTCTGTAAGGAAATCACATGTTTGTATTTTTGACGGGTCAGAGGATAATGCTTCACATGCTCGCTCGTTTTACTTACACCAAATGTGCGGAGGGGAGAATGAAAAATGATTGGTTCAGCGATAACCTATCAGATTGTAGAGGAGGTGGGCCCAAACAACTAGAGGAGGCAAGGCCAAGACATCTGATTGGTTAGACCTGCCTCCTCTAGTTGCTTAGAGCTGCCTCCTTTACAATCTGATTGGTTCAGCGAAATAACCAATCTTTTTTTTGTTTGTTTTGCCCTCAGATCATTTTGTGTGAGTAGAACTCCCATGATCCACATTCTCAGGGTAATTTGGGGGGTGTAGCTGAAGAGTCCCATTGATAGGCCAGCCTTAGGGTGGGGTGTCTTCGGGCTGCAGAATTAGCCTCCCCCAGCTCCCCTCAGTTAGTGCAGATTTACATGGTAGCTCCCTCACTCTCATTTTGCCGCCCCTCCAGCCGGAACCCACGGAGGAGGACATCGAGAAGAATCCAGAGCTGAAGAAACTGCAGATATATGGGGCGGGGCCTAAGATGATGGGCCTGGGGCTGGTGGCGCGAGACAAGGGGGTGAAGAGGAAAGGTGAGGCAGTGCTTTCCCAGAATGCAGCTGTGCAAGGACGGTCACAGACTGTCGCTGAATGTGTGTTCTTGGTTCTCAGATGATCTGCCACAGACTGTGGTCGTGAGGGATGGCACCACGATCAAGGAAGAGTCGGGGGAGCAGGGCGGGGGGCCGGAGGCTTCCCACACCATTTCTGTCAAGGAGGAAGAGGGAAGGACGAGTGAGGAGGAGGAGGAACGCGACGAGCCATGTACCAAGATGACCATGCGACTGAGGCGGAATCCAAGCAACGTACAGCTGGTGAGGACAGGTCTAGGGCCTAGGCTGTGGATATGGGCTGTGATCTTCGAACGTGCCTCATGGACAGCAGGGGGCGTGGCAGTTAAGGATGTGGCCGGTGTTCCAGGTGGACTCCTTCGTGTGTCGGATGTGTGGTCGCGGAGATGAAGACGAGAAGCTGCTCCTCTGCGATGGCTGTGATGACAACTACCACACCTTCTGTCTGCTGCCGCCGCTGGGTGACCCCCCCAAGGGGGCCTGGCGGTGCCCCAAATGCGTGGCTGAGGTGAGGCATGCTGGGACCATCACCGCTGCAGAGCAATGGCCCGTCAACACGTGTCTCACTCTCCCTCCCCCCCTCCCCAGGAGTGCAAGCGGCCGTCGGAGGCTTTTGGCTTTGAGCAGGCCACTCGAGAGTACACCCTGCAGAGCTTCGGGGAGATGGCCGACACCTTCAAGTCCGACTACTTCAACATGCCCGTCCATGTAAGAGTGCCTCCTTGCCGTGCCACTCCCCCCAAGGCCTGGGCGCTCCCCCTAATGCCGTTCGCTCCCTCTTGGGCACGCAGATGGTTCCCACCGACCTGGTGGAGCGCGAGTTCTGGCGGCTGGTCAGCAGCATCGAGGAGGACGTCACCGTGGAGTACGGCGCCGACATCCACTCCAAGGACTTCGGCAGTGGCTTCCCACTCAACAATGGGAGGCGGAAGCTCTCGCCGGAAGAGGAGGCAAGACCTTGCTCCCTCGCCACTCCCAGCCCAGGGTGAAACCGCCCTGCCTGACCGGCTGCCTTTTGCCCTAACGTGCAGGAGTACGCGAGGAGCGGCTGGAACCTGAACGTGATGCCCGTTCTGGAGCAGTCCCTCCTGTGCCACATCAACGGCGACATCTCAGGCATGAAGGTGCCCTGGCTCTACGTGGGCATGTGCTTCTCCACCTTCTGCTGGCACATCGAGGACCACTGGAGCTATTCTATCAACTACCTGCACTGGTACTGAGGTCCTGCGTCCTGTTGTGTCGCGTTGCACGTTTCGCCTGCCCCCAAACCATATCAGACGCACCTCCTCTTTCTCGCCTTAGGGGGGAGCCCAAGACGTGGTACGGCGTGCCGTCGGATGCGGCTGAGCACCTGGAGGACGTCATGAAGACGCTGACCCCGGAGCTGTTTGAGTTTCAGCCTGACCTGCTGCACCAGCTGGTGACCATCATGAACCCTAACATCCTCATGGCCCACGGGGTCCCGGTAGGTATTGCGGTCCGACCCGGCCCAGTTTCTACCCTGAGGCTGTGTCACTGCTGATGGTGCCTTTTGCTGCTAGGTATACCGAACCGACCAGTATGCGGGGGAATTCGTCATCACCTTTCCCCGGGCGTATCACGCTGGCTTCAATCAGGGGTACAACTTTGCAGAAGCCGTCAACTTCTGTACAGCTGACTGGGTAAGTGTTTTCCTCCTCCCCCCGCCCCAGCTGGTATCTGTCTTGATCTTCTGCATGACCTTGTATGCAGGTAATAGATGTGCTGTCGTATTGGGTACCAGGGATCACTCAGGCAGTTTAAATTTCAGTGATCCTGGAGCATTTAAAGGTACAGCCGGCTACCTTCGGTCGACGGTTGGGTCTCCTGAAAGGCCGTGTCTGTCTCACCTCAGCTCCCAGCTGGCCGTTCCTGCGTGGAGCATTACCGGCGCCTGCGCAGATACTGCGTCTTCTCCCACGAGGAGCTCGCCTGCAAGATGGCCGCCTGCGCGGAGAAGCTGGACCTGAACCTGGCAGCGGCCACTCACAGGGAGATGCTCAGCATCGTGCAGGAGGAGCGGAAGCTGCGCAAGGACCTGCTGGAGAGGGTAGGGCCTACTGATCTCGGGCCGTCCCCACCCCCGCACCCCGTTCCCATCCACCAGGGGCTGCGCGAAGCTGACCAGCACTGCTTTTCATAGCTCTCACCATGTGCCACGTCCTCTGAGGAACATAATGAATTCTTGTGCTATTCAGTGTGATATAGAAATTTTTGTCACACCAAGGTGCTTGATAATAGTGAGTGGCCATCCATTATTATATGTAAGAAATAAAGAAAGCCAGAGAACAGGGAACCTAAAACTCCCAGGTGGGGAGGAAAAAAATCTCTGGAAGTCCAAGGTCGACTGACTGCCCAACCCCCCCATGCCTCCGGTCATGCTACTGTTACTGTAGACCAGCATCCCATGTGAGAATAGCCAGTGGGGATTCAGCGTGTTGCTTCTGGCCTCAGTTTCTTGCCTGATCGCATCGCCGTGCCAACAGGGAATCGTGGAAGCGGAGCGTGAGGCCTTCGAGCTCCTGCCCGACGATGAGCGCCAATGCGACAAGTGCAAGACCACGTGCTTCCTGTCAGCCTTGGCCTGCAGCGGCTGCCCCGAGCACCTGGTCTGCCTACACCACACGCAGGACCTGTGCTCTTGTCCTGTGGAGAAGCAGTACCTCAGGTACCCAGGCTCTGCATCTGAGAGCTGTCCTGTCTGGGGACTCGGCCCAAACCCATGCCCGTGTCCCGTTTCCACACCAGGTACCGGTACACCCTGGATGAACTGCTAGCCATGCTTCACCGCCTCAAGGTCCGGGCCGAATCCTTTGATTCCTGGGCCAGTCGGGTAAAGGAGGCGCTGGAGCAGGAGGAAGGGAATAAGACGGGTAAGGAAGCACTGCTTCATTTGGGTTATCTGCAAAGCATTATGGGAAGTCTCTTGATTAGTTTAAGCTGTTTGTTTTGGAAACTGGAAGTGTTCAATGTTCTACAAAAATTAAAATGTATGTTTGCACAGACGTGGAGGAGCTGGAGGCGCTGAGGACGGAGGCAGCTGAGAGGAAATTCCCCGACAACGAGGTGTCTCAGCGCCTGAACGCTGCCTTGAGTGACATTGAGCACTGCCAGGCCGTCAGTGGGCAGCTGATCAGTGGCTCCCGCGGCAGGTGGGTACAGGGCTTAGCTCGAGGCCCCAGGGTGGGCGGTGGTATGGCACTGACCCTGCATTTGTGTCCCGCAGGATGCTGAGCCTTGCAGAGCTGCGTGACCTGCTTGAGAAGATGAAGTCTCTTCCTTGTGTCATAACTCAGGTGGACGAGGTGCAGGTGAGACCCCTAAGCTTAACTGGTCAGATCAGCAGACTGCTTTCCTTGATAATTAACTCTGAGCCCTGGATGGTACTCTCTCTGTGATCCAATGCCTGTGCTGATTCGCTCTGCCCTGTGGGTCAGCCTGACCATCAGAACAAAAACAGAAATATGAAGGGATCCTGGAAAGAGGAGCATTGCTCCTATGATGCTCACCTCCTCTTCCAGGTCCTCCTGACTTCCGTGGAGCAGTTCCAGAGCCGGGTCCGTGCCCTTCTGGATGGTGGACGTTGGAGCCAGGCCCCGGCCAATTCAGAGGAGCTGCAGGATTTGCTGGAGGAGGCTAAAACTCTTGCGGGCGAACCCCCGGAGTGTGAGACTCTGAGGGGCCTGCTGGAGCAAGGCTGCTGGCTTGGGGAGGTGCGCAGAGCGCTGGGCCCACGGGACAGCAGCGCTGAGAGTGCCGGCCACACGCCGGCTTCGCTGACAGACCTGCGGAGTCTGGTGGAGGCCGGCCGGGCCCTGCCGCAGAGCACCGCCGTAGAGGCGGCCATGGCGGAGCTGCAGGAGCTGCTGACCATCGCTGAGCGCTGGGAGGAGAAGGCGCAGATCTGTCTGGAGGCCAGGTGATGTACCCTCAGACTCCTGCAGTCTGGTTCGCGGCACGGGCCGGACCTGTTTACAGTAGCACCAAGTCGGCTCATTCCGGTTTCATACATTATGAAGCATGGCTCCTCTCTGACATTTGGTATCAAGACAAAATCATTAGTTTAGATCTGTTGTTAGGGGTGACGTAAATTTGGGGGGGGGGAGTTCCAAGGGTTCCTGAGTGACAGCGGTCCTAAATAATTGGCGCATATTTGGAGTGACCTGGGTTGGGTGTGTTTTCATGGGGCCCAAAATCTCTAGCGGCGTATCAGCTAATGGGACTCATGGGAAATGGAGTCCTAGAGAAGGGCAAGCTACGGAGGGTAGCCCGTCGGTGTCAGTGCTGAAATAAAGCAGTATCATTTTTAGTCTTGCGTTGATAGACCCAGACAGGAGGCACATGTGTTCGTCTTATTCCCCATAGACAGTGCAAATGATAACAGGAGTGATGTCTGGTGGCAAAATAAGCCGTCGGATAGCCATACGGTACCGGTCAGAGGTATAGCGGATCACCAGGTCCTGCATAAGACCCCAGAAAACTGATGAACTGCCCTGTCGCTGGGCTCGTCCTCGGCTCTCTCCTGTGCCCTTGCAGGCAGAAGCACCCGCTGTCTACACTGGAGGCCATTGTCAGTGAGGCCACGGTGATCCCAGTGCAGCTGCCCAACATCCTGTCTCTGCAGGCCTGCCTGGGCCGTGCGCGCGCCTGGGTCACTGACCTGGAGGAGATCCAGGTGAGTCCTGGCCTGTCCTACAGGCTCCACCCCCTATGGCGGGCTCACTGACACCCCCCCCCACCATGTCCCCCAGAATGGAGAGCATTACCCCTGCCTGGACGATCTGGAGGGCCTGGTGGCCGTGGGTAGGGACCTACCTGTGCAGATGGAGGAGCTGAAGCAGCTGGAGGTGCAGGTGGCCAGCGCCCAGGCCTGGAGGGAAAGGGTCAGCAAGAGCTTCCTGAAGAAGAACCCGGCACACAGCCTGCTGGAGGTGATGGGGGCCACAGTGCCTGGGGGTGGGCACCCAGGGCCAGCCCTACTAGGGACTCTATCCTCATTTGTTTCTTTTATATCATGGCAGGTGCTATGCCCCTGTGTGGAGAGGGGTCAAGGCAAGCATGGCCGGTCAGACATGGGCAGCCTAGGCCTCACTGCACAAGATCTGAGGGACCCTGGAGCTATAGTGAGTCTTACAGTGAGCTGCATGCTCTGTTTTTGTGCTGGCTCCACCCTCAACAGTATGTGGGTGTGGTGTCTGGTGAGCATGGCCTCGGTGGGTGTGGTGTAGGATCTGGCAGTATTACACCAGTTAAGAGCCAGGTGGTTCTTTGGCCAGTTCTGTGTATTATCAATCCTGAAAGCTGCCAGCCAAGCTGCTCTTGCTGAGCTTTTGCTGATGAGCTGCATTTTCCCACCTGTCCACCAGGTGTCAGCGTATAAAGACGGAGAGCGACGAGAGAAGGAAGCTATGAGGCGCCTCCGTGAGGTCAACATGGCCACGTCAGTGTCACTGGAGTGTGAGGGTGAGAGGCACAAAGAGGGCAGAGAGCAGGACAGTGCGTGCCTGAGCCCAGCGGCGCCCCCTGCTGGCCTGACCGCAATCTGCGTGTGCGGCCACCCTCCCCGCGAGCCCCTCCTTCGCTGCCGCATGTGCCAGGCCCGATTCCACGCCGGCTGTGTGCCCTTCCCTGCTCTCTCAATGCCCGCCTCCCCAGTCTGCTGGTGGGACTGGGACGTCGGCTTCCTGTGCCCGCTGTGCCGGCGCTCACGGCGACCACGCCTGGAGACCATCCTGGCTCTGCTGGTGGCACTGCAGAAGCTGCCAGTGCGGCTGCCTGAGGGAGAAGCCCTACAGTGTCTGACTGAGCGGGCCGTCTCCTGGCAGGGCCGGGTCCGCAGCGTGCTGGAACACCCCGAGTTGCAGGGGGCGCAGGAGACTCTGCGGGAGCTCCGGGAGGGCAAGGGGGGGGGGCAGGACTTGGAGGACGGAAGCCCCTCCCACCCGGACACCAGTGCAGTGATAGCGAATCGCTGTGAAAATGGACATGGCGACGGGGAGGATTCGCACAACGGCACAGGCAAGTAGGCGCGAGGCACAGGTTCCAAGTGGAGCTGGGCTCCAGCCCAAAAGCATACTGCTCATATTCTTATGTCGCCCCCTCCAGGTGTGGAGGCACTCCTGCACCTGTTACCCTCCCTGCAGGGCCCTGTAATCGAGCTGTCTCCGTCAGCCGTGTCCCAGTTGGAAGAGCTACAGCTGGAAGGGGACCTCCTGGAGGTGACTCTGGACCAGACGCTGACCATCCACTGGCTGCTTCAGGCCGCCTCCCGCCCCCCCTTGCGCACTCTGCGTGCCCTTATAACGGTAAGGCACAGCTCCCGAAGGGATTAGAGCTTATCAAATTTGTAATAAGTGTGTCGAGAGCGCATAGTTTAAGGTGCTTTGCTAAATGGAAGGGTGATGTCGCCCTCTTGTGTCCGGCAGGCAGAGCTGCAGGAGCAGCAGCAAGCTGGGCGAGGCGGGGGCCGAACGAAGGACTCCAAAAGGAAGAGGAAGCGGCTGCGGGAGGCGGGCAGGGCAGACGAAGGCCTGGGCTGCAAGAAGCCCCACCCCCCGAGCCCACTGACCCAGTCGGAGGTAACTCACATTCTGTGGGAATCATACAGCATTTTTTTTGCTAGGGTCTAGTTAGTTGGCTACTTTTTAGGTTTAACCACACTTTCATGTGCTTGTATTTCACAGATCCTGTGAAGGGGGATGATGGATTTACTGAAAACATGGTGGATGGGCCAATCACCTCCTCCCCCCACCCCCCCACCCCACACCCGACACACACACACACACAAACACAAAGCGCAGCCACCCAGGACAGAAGGAACAAAATAAGGGCAGGGTGAACACCAGCCCCCACCCGCCCCACTGACTGCTCTCAGCCCCCCCAGAGTGTGCCAAGGGCTGCTGGCCCTGTGTTTTTGGAGGTGGGGCTGTGGAGTCACGCAGCTGGTTTGTTTCCCCTTGAAGCACTGAAACTGCGCCGCCCCCCCCCCCCTTCACTGGAGGCTGGACTTCTCAGTTCGGCTCGGACTGCGTGAAGGTCTGTGCCCCCGGTGTGGGTCAGACCTGCAGCAGAAGCTGCACAGGTAATGCCCCCCGCCCCGTGCCCCCCTCCCCTGCCGCCGCGGACTGCAGCATACGGTGGGGGCTCGTAACCGTATTTTTTTGTATTGGGTCTTGGGCTTTACTGAAGGTATCAAAGGAGAAAATGTTTGGGAAGTTTAAAGAAGCGTGCAGGCATTTGGTGCTACTTTCCAAAGCCGTCTCCTTTTCCATTCTCTTATCTTTCTCTCCTCCTCCTCTCACTACTTTTTTCCTTTGGTTTTTCCACCTTTTCTTCCTGAGCACTTTGTTCTAACAGAATTTCTGTCTTGGTTCAGATATTAATTATTATTATTATTATTATTATTATTATTATTGATATTATTACAGATGTGGTTCTTTTCTGATTTAATGTTGCCTCCCCTCCTCCTAGTTAGGAAATTAAAGGTTTAGAAGTGTTTTAGGACTCATGCAGTCCTGTGTCCATCTGTGAGTCTGTCGTTGTCTAAGCATAAATACATTTGAATTAGCAACTGGACATTTTAATGGTCTATAAAAGTTTAATTTTAAAACATTTCCATGATCCAGAAACACCAAGACACCAAGCAAAAGCATTTCACAGGTTAACAAAATGTTCAAGTCAAAGAAAGGATTTTAAAATTTTAAAAACCACATTGTCACAAACTGGAATCCTACAGGGTTGTTAATAACACATCTGGTGTTTTACCAATCTAAGCGTCGATGCCATGCAGATCATTCACAGTAATTAAAAAGGAAACACTAATACAGCCTACCATCTTTTCAGTGCCATTTGAAGTCTTGAGGGCGATACTTGGTAGAGGAAAAGCAGCCATTGGAGAGAGTGAGTGGGTTAAGAAGAGGCGCCTCTGCTAGGAAATGTCCGACCTGGCATTTAGCCAGACGGGTTCCTGAACTGCTGCTGCTTCTGTGAGCTCCAGTCACTGTGCTTTAAAAGTACTGGGTGGTTGTTACCCCAGACTGTGCCTGTCTGTGCTCTAGCCAGCCACACGGTGCTCTACTCTCTCTGCTGTGAAATGTGCTTAGCTACCACTGTGCTTCCAGTGCCTGACTGCACTGCGTTTAGGAATGAAGTGTCGCAAGTAGAGCTGATGAGAGCCTGGATCTGGCTGGACCAGCTTGTACAGGTGCCCGTTCCCCCTGTGTGCGGTGCTGATCCACACGCCTCCTGATGCATACACACATATACACTGTGACTCTCCACAGTATCACAGGTCTACATGTCTATCAAACCCAAAGCCTCCCCCTTCCCACTTCAAGATGGAGTGGGGGGGGGGGGTATCATGTATTAAAAGACTGCCACGCAAATCCTTGTCCAAGTGCAGGGCCCCTTTGCTGGGCCTTTCTGTAGAGGATTCACGGTGACAGTACTTGTGCCTTCCCCCCCTGCCCGCCTGTCCCCCTTCTCGGTCCTCCTCAGACAGTAGTTACTGAGAGCAGTGGGTTGTACACCTTCTTCCCGTCGGGGGACCGCGTGCCGTGAGCCAGCAGCTCCTGGATGGTGATCCAGTTGTCCAGGATCTTCCTGCTGCGCTTCTTCATGCTTCTCCTCTGGCTAAACTCCAGGATGCCATTGTCCTGCTGCGCCCCCTGCTGGGCGGGCCGGCCGTCTGCATCACGCTCGCGCAGACATTCTAGGCGGCTCTGCATCATGAATTCACGGCGGCGCCGGTACTCGCGGGCACGCATCAGCTGCTGCTTGCGCTCCTCTTTGCTCCAGTAGCGGCCCATCTTCATCTCGCTCACGGCGTCGTCGTCCGTCGTGGTGCCGCTGCGCTCCTCACGGATCTTCATGGCCCGCGCCTTCAGCAGCCGGTCCCTCACGGGCCGCTTAGCCACGTAGCGCGAGCCGTCACTGCGCACCTTCACTTTCCACTCCATGCGTGGGGACCCCGGCGGTAAGACCATGGGTAGCGGAAGGGGGCGCAGTGGCGGACCAAGGTCTGTGGGCGGATCAGCCAAGTCCCTCCAGTGGCCTGTGGGTCTGCCTGCCACATCCCCTGCCCCATGCTCTCTGGCCTCTTGTCGGTCAGGGGTGCCCTGTAGCTGTCCGCATCCCAGGAAGCGGTTGGGCATGCGCTGGCGGCGGCTGAAGTAGGGGCTGCTGGTCGGGCCATGCCCATTGGCGGGGAGGCTCCCTCTGTTGGCACTGTCCCGGGACAGAGATCGGAACTTGGGGACGGGGCTCATATATCCATTAGCGCTACTGGAGGCATGTGCCTGGCTGGCTTCTCTGTGCTGGCCTGGTGTTCGAGGTGGAGGGGTTTCGGGGGCGCCAAGCTCGTCTATGGTGACGGGGAGGGGTCTGTCCCCGCCCTGAGGCGTGCTTCGGCAGCTGTCGCCCCCCGTGTTGTAGGCGCTGGTGCTCTCCTTGTCTGAGCGCTCCCGCTCCGGGAGTTCGTTGATGTCCGACAGTTCATGGTGTGCGGGGCCATTGCCCACGGCGACGCAGTCCTCGTCCTCAGCCGGCCAGGCCCTCATGCAGCGCTCTCGCAGCTGCTGCATCTTCTGTGCACGCAGTACGTTGCGGCACTTAAACTCGAGGTGCCGCAGCTCCTCCTCCAGCAGGGCCAGCTCCCGCTGCGGCAGGCTGTCGGCATGGCTGCCATAGACACGCCGGATCTCCAGCAGCTCGCGGTATCGCTCCCGCTCCTCATCCGTCAGGCCGGGCATGGGCATGTGCGCCCCAGCCAAGGCTCCACCTTCCAGCCCAGGCAGTGAATCGGCACTGAGGTGCAGGTCACGGCTGTATGGCGGTGGCAGCGTGCTGAACTTGCGCGCACTGCCTGGCGTGTTTGAGGCACTGGTCTGCTCGTCAGCTAGCAGGTCGTGTTCCGAGGACTCCTCGTTGCGAGTGCTCTCGTCCGTGCGTCCCACGCCGCTGTCCAGCTCCTGGCTGTTGCTCAGGGCGGTATGCCGCATAGAGGGACTGTCTCGTGGGAGAGGCCATCCCCGTCGCTCCGTCCCCACAGTACCCCGCGCCCCCGCTGAGGGGCTGCCCTTCCGCAGCCTGTGAGGGCTGGCCAGGTGGACGCTAGTGTCTAGGACTTGAGCCTGTACTACTGTCTGCAACTCCAGCTCCAACTCTCCGTCATTCTGCGGGAAAGAGGATAAAAAGGAAGCCAGTGATTGGTTAGGATTCAGAGAGCCCTGCTTCTGTGATTGGATCAAATAAATTCAAGAACGAGTAAAAGAAATACGGAATAGTGTTTCTGAAGTTGGTTGGTGTATTTTTAGTAAGGGGGGTAGGGGTTTTTTTTTCGTCAAGTGTTAGGCTGCAGATAACGGTGCGACTCTAAAATTCAGTTTGCTTGCAACCACCAGAGGGCGACAGACTCCCAAAGACACTGTGCCTGTTACTGGTCCACTTGCTAAATCAGGAGTCTGGTTTCCCAGCAGCCATCTGGCTCGTGGGATGTGGCCACTCTGCCAGGTCTCACATATTCACCCTTCATCATCCATCCTGCTCAAAATGTCTCCTCCTCGGCCCCCCAGTACCGCTGTGGTGAGATGTGGAATATGGCGCGTGAAACACAGATGTCAGTGACGTACGAACGGGACGTGTGTGGACCTGCTCCCTATGTCACACCTATGCCCCAGCTGACAGACTGGCACAGCATCAAATGATGTTTTAACAGTCCCACATCAATCCTAACGGAGTCTGAATCTGCCCCACAGGCTTCGTTAGGGTCTGACTGATTGGGCGTTTAATTGGAATCGCTCTGAGCTCCCCGACAGCCTGAAGGCTCTCCATCTCTATTCAGTCATTCTTCCAAGCTCCTTTTGTTTTCGCTGCTTATTTCTCTTCATTTCATTCTCCTGCCATTTTCTGCCCTGCTTGTCTGTCCACTGGGAATGGGGAGGAGAGGGCAGCAGAAGCAAGATCACCGGATCTCCAGTCAGCCACAAAGCGGCACCGTCTTAATGAGGCAGAGCAGTCCGTCACTCTGTTGGGTAATATATTACCTTTTAATTACATCACAAGTGCAAGCACGCCCAGTTGGTATTTGGGGTATCTACACAGGGCCACCAGAGGAGGTGTGATTATCGACCCGTCACGCCATGTCACATGGTCCCACCCCCCGGCCGCTTCAGCAGTAAATGCGGCTGGCGGCACATCAGGCGGGGGGAAGGTGGATACCATGTGTCTCCCTGGAAAAGTGACCTTGAGGGAACAAAGGAATTGTGCTCTCCATTTCCTTGCCTGCCCTGAGCACCCCGTCGGTCACCGACCCAGCGCATGGTACCTTCATCATGTCACCGCTGGGAGGTCACCTGTCAGTCTGCCAGCTGTCACTGGCCTGCTAATGATGCCCTGTACAGTGCAGATGTAGACATCCCGAGGCCTGACCACACCATCCCTGCCAGGCAAGGGCTCTCCAAACAGCTTACAAACCTGGCTGTTGTACCAGGCAGTGATATGAGTGGCAGGTGAGGTGACTGAGTGGAGATGAGATGTCGCCCCACAGTGGAGAGGATCCACAGACTGCCCCCCACAGTTGTCTTCACCTCTGTGTCGGGCCGGGCCAGAAGTAGGGAGATGTTGGTCTGGTCCTCTTGGGTCAGGATGGCCACAGCCTCCTCCCTGTTCTGTACGTCCATCCCATTGATCTGGGGGATGGGAGACAGGGCAGCAATCATTACCCATGTGGATAAATCACCAGCTTTATCTTCCCTAGTGTTGCCAGAGCACCCAGATTTCAATCCTCACGTTTCAGAATAAATTCCCCTGATGATGGGTTGGAATCTGCACCCTATTTTCCTGTCTGGGGTGTGACCCCACCCCCAGCCCAGCGGAAGCCCCTCTTCTCCATACCTGTAGTATTCTGTCTCCTTCTCGAATCCGCCCATCTTTAGCAGCAATGCTGTTGGGGTTGACCTGGAGAGGGGGTGTCCAACATTTATACATTAGTTCATTGAGGTGGGGGGAGGGGGTAGGGGGCTCACTGCATAGAGTGAAAAGACAAAAAAAAAAACCCTGCTGAAAATTCACTGGCAAAGCAGCCAATGAGTGCAGTGCATCCTGGGAGTTGCAAATACAACCTGATCCTGGTACAAGGATGGCAGGGTGACACTCCTCACTTTATACTGTTAAAGCAGCAAGCAAGCTTTTATCAGACCTCCCCCACGTAGATCCCCAGGTCCTCCTCATCATCCGTGCGGTAACATACAGTCAGGCCCAGCTTGTCCTCCTGATGGGATTTGTACAGCTCCACCTCCTGGCATGGAAAAAAAATGATTTAAAATGATCTTCCAATTTTCTCAATTACTAGTTCATTTTTTTTATCATCTGTCACCTTTGAGGGTGTTTGAATCATTTTTGCATGCTGAATTGAAACAGGATGAATGATTTATGTGTGAGGGAGGTCAAGGATTCTGTCCTGAGAGGAGAAGCAATATGTGGTGGGGAGAAAGGTCCAGAAGACT